CTCTTACAAAACCGTGAATTGGAAACATAACTTTTTCAATGAAAGATACGTGGAAATACTGTTTTTATCTCATCAATAAAATATAAGCCCTGCTCAGGTCATATTCTTTGGCTCCATTGCATAATTTATATGAAAATGGGAAGAAAGTTAAACAAAATTCAGCCCATTTTAATCTGTTAGGATAGTAATAACCGTTAATCTAAAATGTGCAACAAAGTAAGATTAGCAAGAGAAGCAGAAAATTGAAACTCAAACATGATCCTGAATATTCTTTCAATACAAACCCTACAAACTTGCATTAATATCAACGTACTACCGCTTTAAAATTATACTACATATTTGTACTGAAAATAAAATAAGCATGCAGTACAAAATACCGCACAGTTTTGGATACAGTATAATATATGAAATGACACTTCATTTTAAATATGTCTAGAACTGATCATCTATATTTTTTATGATGCAAGTCAATTTAGTTTCAACTTTATGATGAACATTTCCTTATGACTATTCATTCCAAGGTCATGTTGATTTTCTATAGCAGAAAAAAATGAAACATACAAAACTCAACTGATGGTTTAGAATGTGTTAGCTCCCTTTCTACATTAGCTTGCTTCAAGGATTAACTCATAAACAGTTCAGGTAGCTCAATATAGCATTCAGTAAAACACAGAATGATGTAACTTCTCTAGCAAATACCCAGAGTTGTGTGGATACTTATCACAACTATAAAGTGATCGCACACATCTTATTGTTAGTATATAGGGTGTCAAGAAGTTACTTGAAGGAAAATATTACAGTAAGGATTCACTGAAATACCTGTAAACATTCGCAGTCTTAATCCTACACATCACTGAAACTTCACACGAAACATAAGATCTACCACCCCCTTCTCATAAATCATTAAAAAATATATTGGGGGGGGAAGGTAAAGAGGAGGAAGGGGGGTTATTTTAAGTTTGTACATCAAAATATAAAATTAACTGGTTTCCAACTAAGACAAAAATCACATCTTTTAGGAACACATCCTTTCTGAAACACATACAAGAGATCTCGTAATGAACGAAAAATTTATGAATACAGATGAGCTACTCATGTGCATTTCAAAATAAAGCACATTATAAGTACTGACTGCCCTTCGACCACTTTCTTTAATTTATACTGCCCTTGTTACTTATTCCTACATACAATTCTAATATGTCATATACTGTGTTTTCATATTAACAACCAAGCAAGAACTTTTGCCAAGGAAGTACATCAGGTAGTCCATTAAATTTGTCAATAGTGCCACATACTTTCAATGTATACAGTGTCCCCCTAGAAAATGTATCCACCCTTTGAACATTCATGAACACATAATGATGTGCACAACAAGGTGATATTCAACAGTTATAGGAAATGATGCTAGAAGAACGTAACAATCAAATAATGCAGCTAAGTGGCACAGTTATTTGTAAACTTGCAATAAAATAATTAATACAGCAGAGTGGCGCAGTTAGCAGTAAACATCCCAGTACATAAAATTTTCTTGTTAACCCTTCAGCGTGGAGTGCCGAACATCGCTCGTCATGACGTAGTCTTCCCATGGCGTGGAGTGCCGAGCACTGCTCGCATAATGCGCGCTAAGACTTCTCCTTCTTCCTAGCGACTGACCTTGTATTTTATGTATTCTGGATCCAGTAGCCATGTAGAGAAAAAAGCTGGCTATCAATTGATATATAACATGACTCTGACAGATCGATTTTACCAGTGTTTTTCGACTTTGAAATATAGATCGATTTTTGAACTCAACTGCATTCAGCCTCTGCTTTGTGGCTCTCTCTAGGGAAGACAAATGGAGTAATATATTTAAGGTTTCGACGGCTGTGTAGGACACATTCCAACCTTTCTAACGGTATATGATGTCAACGACCTTAGTCAATGCATTCTCTGTTCTCCCCTTGGTAAGAACAGAATTCTATAGTACATATCTGCCGTCAGTCAGCCGTGAATATGGCTTCGAGTAGCAGGCGTTTTTTGTCTCCTCAAGACATTGCTAGAAGTGTAGACGAACCTCTAACTGATTCCGAAAGTAGCGTGTTCGATTCAGATGATGAATCAAGTGTAATCGATGATTTACCTGTGCGTGAAAGACAGTGTTTTGGTGTCCTGATTGTGAGGCTGGTCTCTGTGTTGATGGCTGTTTCAAGATATTCCACACAAAACTCAACTTTTAAGGTAAATTTTTTACTGTTCTATAAAGCATAGTGTGTTGTGAACATTTTGTTCAAAGTTTCACTAAAATTCATCAATTATTAGGGAAGTTGTGCCCATATAAGTAAAATGATGCACTTTCAGCTCAAAATTAAATCCCCAAGCAGAAACTCCTCCCACAGCACGGTATAGACTTGGGATTTAAATGCTCCCACGCTGAAGGGTTAATCAGAAACGCAGAAGAGTTCATTTACCTAGATGGAAGATGGGTAACAGGAGAGAAAAGTGATCTGTGAACCAACATCAATGGACTTTTTGTTTGTGGGATATTCTGAACATAGTCACTAAGATGTTAGCAACGCCACAGAAGCTAAGAGCATCATATATCTGCCTGTATCGCTATTTCACCAGGAGCATAAATAATCACTGTGACTTGCTGGTAACAATGCAGAAGCTATGATGGCACATTTGAGTCTTTAAGATAAATTTCAAAATGGTCCAACATCTACATGTTAAGAAAATAAGTTATTACAGTGGGTATACATGTTTTTGGGACACACTGTATAATGATGTTCCACGTACTGAACCGAGTGCATACAAAGCACAGAGCCATCAGTTGCATGTCAGTGCTGAGTAACTTGGTATTATTATGCTTTCAACACTACAGAATAAGGCAAACCAACCAAATGCACAGCCTACGTACAAATTTCACCAAGCTCTTCCCAACAGCTTGTACTTACCAGTATATCCTGTCTAATATATCATACAGCAGCATAAATCTAAAAAATAACCCACAACTGAAACCTGAAAACATTCGCACGTTCTGTAATGCAACACATCTGTAAAAACATAAAATGGTAGGGCAAAAATTCCCATTTCCAAAGTTACAAAATCATGGTGCTAAAGAGGCTCCACCCACCCCACCCCATTCCAAAGTAAATTTCTTGTATTATTCTCTTTATTTACCAAGTTAGGATACAAGAAAACACTGTCAAAACGGCAAAAAGTTAAGAAAAAGTAATTTTATTACTTATCCAGATTCTCCTGCACAAACTAGTGAATGTCAATTTTTCTACCCTTCTATAAAACTCCATTACAAGTTGGCAGAATGACTTGGAACTGTTCTTCACCCTTAAAATCCTCTGCAATGGGCACAAAAATGTTTATTTCCTCAATGTTATGCAATTATTATCCTCTTCAGTATACCATTAATTTAAATTAAATACCATAAACACTGAAGGAATCTGTAGAGTGAGTCCTGAATTCCACTTTACATTACACTGTTTATCAGAACGTCAGCTCGGAACAGAAGGGGCAGAACCAGCCAAACA